TACATCAATTTCTATCTGTATTATTTTTCTGTTATTGTATCTCTTTATATAATATTATATTATCAGTGACATATTAATATAATAAACAAAAAGTAAAATGTGAATTGAATTGAAATAAAATCTATTGTTTAATATTTTTGTTATTATTCGGAAAATCAAAAGAATAAAATAGTGCCTGAATAAAGATATAGAATTTATTTTATTTTATTTAATTGTTATTAATTTGAAATAAAGAATTAAGTGAATATGTTCACCGGCTAGACCTGGTGATATAAACAAAGATGAAACAAAATAATAACATCTAAGATTTTTTTTTGTTTTGTTTTTTGTTAATAAATCAGTGACATTGATAATCAGTACATAGATCTCGTTCTTTGAATACATCAAAAGATGTTAAGGTAAATATGAAAAGAGCTCCAATAAAAGCTCCAGCTTGTGTTAAAAGTCCATACCAAAAAAGACCTCGATGACCTGATGTTTTATTAAAATAATTTCCAAGAACAATTCGTTCATAATAAAATATTAAATAAACAAGTGCCCATACAATTGCCTAAATTAGAATAAATTTATTTATTTTATTAATAAATATTTGTTTATAACATACAATTATATATTTTCCCATCAAATGATCAACATAAGGTGAACATGGTGATAAATATGCTATGTTAATTTAAAGTTAAGTAATTATTAGAAAAATAGAAAAAGTTAAAGTAAAACCTGTTAGAAATATATAAAAAAAAGCCAAAGTTCCAGAAATGGTTGAAATAATAATTCCAATCGTTGATACATCAAATAATTTTGGAAAAAGTGAAGCAAATAATGAAACAAATGGATAACAACATTGACCTTAAATAAATTAAATTAAATTAAATATGAAAAAAGTAAAAGTAAAATAAAATCTACATAAAATAATAACATAATGAAAAGTTGAAGCTCCATATGGATTAAGTGAATATGAATTAATTGATGGTATACATCCAATTAAAAGTATACTTGTCCAAAGTATAATTATTAAATAAACAATTGTTCGTTTTGTAAATTTCTCTTGTTTATTATCTTCATGTTTAACAATAATTTCATCATTATTAACAGCTAATAATGAACTATGAGCATTTTCTCCAATAATTATTTGTTCAGCTTGACTTTTTTCTTTTTTTTCTTTTTGAGTTTTCCATAAAAGAATAAATGCAATAAATGATATTAACATAATTACACTAAGACAAATTAAATATGTTTGAACTGAAAATCGAGCATCATGATATTTAGCTATCAGTTTTGTTGAATTCAATGACTCAGGAACACAATCAGGTTTTTGACCAACACCCTTTTTTTTTTGTTAAATAGATAAATAAATAAATAAATAAATAAATAAATAAACTCTTACCTGTATAAGACCAAGTAGAGCTGGAATTAATGATGATAATGATTCACCAGCAAAATAAATATTTAACCATTTATGATCAAAATGATTAACAAATGGAAGATATGTTACTGATGATGTACAATTAACTAAAGCAAGAAAAAAACCCAAAACTAATAAATAAATTGATCGACTTTTTCCTAATAAATATATTTGTTTAAACCATGTAAATGAAAGTATTAATGGTACTGATATTCCAACAGCAAATATAATACATATTGATGGAACTTCATATGATGACGATTTACCAATAATTGAACGTATTAATGCTATTATTAATGGACCAACATTAGCTATATTACTTGCCATTCCTAATTGAGGTGATAATGACCATCCTTCAGGTAATCGAGGAATTAATAATGGTAATTCAATCCATATACCATTTAAATTAAGCCATGTTCCAATACCAAATAATCTATTTAAACAAGGCTTTTTTTTTTTCTTTTTATAATATATTTATTTAAATAAAAAGAAAAAGAAAAAGAAAAAAACAAGAAGGCAAACTTACAAAAATAATGTATAACCAACTAATTTCTTCGGCTTAGCTTTTTTTTCTTTAACAGTATCAACGTTTATTTTCTCGACTTCCATTTGACTAAACGACGAAGAAAATGAATTAAAATAACATATTTACTTGTTTATAAAGACGAATGATAAAACAATGGATAGAATTTAAAAAAATCTAGGTCCTCTATAAATACGTGAATATATTCTAGCCATTTGATATAATAAAATTTCTGCGAACACAATATCTATTTATTCATTGGTTATTATCAAACATCCATTCAACAATTCAACACACATATTTTATATATGATAAAAGAGAAGAAAGAATGCCTCGAAAATTTTGTTTTTTTTCATTCCGAACATATTGTGTTTTTTATTGTTTTTCATTTTAGTTTATTTTATTCTTTGAATATCTATATTAATAAAAATAAATTCTATCACAAATTAAACTTATCTTTTATTTATTTTCTAATACTAAATATTTAATAAAGTATTAATATTAAAATAATAAATAAATTGAAAATTGTTTTCAATATAGTAATGAAGAATATCGACTAACTTATCTATTTTTCAGGACAAATTTTTGTATGCATCAAGGCAAAACAACAAACATATTTGTTTTATATTTTATGGATTGGTTTTTTTGAAAAGATAAATAAATCGAGTCTAGAATATATTATTTCTAAGTCAATTCGATTTTATCTTGATCTATTTTCAGCATTCGATTTTATCAAATGGAATTTATTTCATATTTTATTTATTTAATATATTCCAATTGGCGCATAAGTTCTGACAGTTTCGATCAGTAGACTAATATCGCCAATATAAAACTACATTTTAAGGAAAGTAATTATATATATACTGATAGCGCTCGGAATTCTCTATCACCCTGTGTATTTAACTCTTGACTTACATTTATTTACTGAAAACTATTTTGAATACAATGAAGACACCCTCACCCGCAGTGACAATGTTCGAAATATTTCTCAATAAATAAGTTCAAGTCAAGAACTGAATAGACAGGGCGATAGAACATTTCAAGAGCTCTCAGAATATATAATTACTTTCCTTAAAATGTAGTTTTATATTGGCGATATTATTCTACTGATCGAAACTGTCAGAACTTATGCGCCAATGGAATATATATATATATAATAAGTTAATTATTCAAACAGAATAAATGTAAAAATAAAATGAATTAAATTATATTCAAAAGATAATTTAATTAATATTTATTATCTTCAATATTCTAATGAGTTTTTATTGATATTTTTGTTTTTACTTATAATTAATTGAAACTAATATTAAAGTTCTTTCGACTTATCTCAAAAAGAAAACAAACTTTTAATATATTAGAAATTTTCAAATATTTTTATTTCAGTTTCAAATAAAATAAAAACATTCTTATCCATTTGAAAATCTATACTTTATATCAATAATAATAATAATAATAACCTTTATTTAATTATATTTAATCGAAATATTGTAGAAATAATTAACAAAACAATAGAATTATTATTATTATTATTATTCAGTTAGTTTCAAACTAATCGATTATAAATTAACTTAAATAAATAAATATTTCACTGTGACAAATAATCTTCTCATCAAAAAACAAAAAAATCCGTTTCGATATTGATCATTTCTCCAACCAATATATATGTATATCCTAATAAAATGCTCTTGTTAATTATATTGATTTTATTGTCGAAAGAAATAATAGGATTTACTTGAAAGATTTCATCGTCTTTCTCTTTATTCGTTCGAGTCATAAACGAAGATTAAGAAGTATTTTCAAGATATTCAACTGTGATGTTTCGTTTCGAAAATGAATATTACCTTGAATTAATAACAATTAATTATGTTTGACAACAATTCTAGTGAGGCAAAGTTTTTTTTTAAATCTATTTATGATAATATATATAATAGATATACAGTAAAACTTCTATTCGTGAACACCCCTCTTGTGTGATCAACCTGTTATACCGAACACCCTCCCGTCCCACCGAGCAAATTTTGCTGGTTTTTGCCCCCTCCTATATGATCACCCCGTCATTCAGAACGTGAACGCTTTTTTCTGGTCCCGTCTGTATATCTCACTGTCATTATTTTGAACAAAAATAGAGGGTGCTATGAAATTCAATCATTTTATAGTTATACGGAGGCTATTATTACTCATCCCATTGGATCCGTAATTCAACAGAGAAAAAAAGAAAAAAAGTTATTTGTGATTTTTGTTAGCTGCATTACATCTTAATATTAGCTATCGCATCACGAAATAAACTTGATCTAGAACAAAAAATAAATCTCATCAAAGAAAAAGAACGTCGTTTATCTCATCGTGAAATAAAAGACAAGTTCCAAGGGTCTCTCGGTGCTGTTTCAAACATTCTCAAAAGAAAAAAACGAATATATTAATGATTATGAAATAAATCAAAATAAAAAAATGAAACGAAAGCTGAAAGATGATTTTAGTCAAACGATTAATGATACTGTTTATGAATGGTTTGTCGCACAAAGAACCAAAATTATTCCTATATCTGTTTCAGTATTACAAGAATATGCAAGAAAAGTTGCTGAACAACTTGGTGATCAATCAGGAAATTATAAAGCATAATAATATGTAATCTATTGAAAATAATAAAAAAAACTAGTGAATCAAATAAAAAATACTCGAAAAGATCTAACGAGTACTGGTATTTACGTATTGATTTCTTTTTACTGGAACCCTCTTAAGTGATCGCCCTGTTAATCTGAACGATTTTGGTTGGTCCCGACGGTGTTCACATTAGAGAAGTTTTACTGTATATAGATAAATTGATCTACGTAATGTATTGTTTTAAATAAACGAATAAATGAATGAATGAATAAGATAATAGTCATTGACACAGTTGAGTAATCACATTGTTATAGTGATTGACTGATTGATTGATAACATTCATCTCGAAGAGTGTAAGTTTTATTCGTTTAATTATATTGTGTCTATCGATTGAAGGTTTATTTTTTTTGTGTTATTTGAAAAAAAATTCAAATATGTCTTTTAACTTTAGATAAAATAATATTTCGAAATAAAATGACAGAAGAAAAAAGTGACGAATGGAAACGATTAAATATTTCAAAAGGTTCTATATTAATATAAGATAAAATGAATAATCTTATATTTGTTAATAAATAGGTAAATGTTCGTTTAGTCAAGAACGTATTTGGATTGATGAACAAATTCGAGAAAGTCTTATTAAAAATAGTGAAGATTTATATAATTATAATAGAGTTATTGTTTATCAAATTGAAGATGGATTTTTATCAATAAAACGTTTTCGTCAATCAATTAATATATTATTAGATAAACATGAAATATTTCGAACATCATTAGATTATGATGCAGATCAACATTGTCTTCAACAAACAATAAATCACACTTCAAATGATCTTTATTCATATGAATTAACTTATGTAGATATAAATGATATTGAAAAAGTCAATAATATAATATATAATGAACAAATTTCAAAATATTTTGATTTAAATAAAGGAAAAATCTTTCGTTGTCATTTATTAAAAGAAAATGCTCAAGATAAAAATCATTTAGTTAAAAATGATTATATTTTATTAATATATCATCATTCAGCTATTGATCAATATTCAATTTATTTATTTTTAAAAGAATTAACAGAATCCTATAGAAATGGAAAATTAAATAAAGATGATAAATATCAATTAAGATATATTGATTATTCACAATATGAACGTCAATTTAATTTAACGAATTGTGAAGAATTTTGGCAAGATTTATTTTCTGATTATAATTTTAATTCTAGATTAAAAATTCCATATGATCATAAATTAAATAATATTTCAACTGGTTCATATTATTCATTTAATATTGATAAATCATTAATTCGACAAATATTTCGATATAAAAATAAAATCAATATTAATTTATTTCGAATTTTTTTAACAACATTTTATATTTATTTATTTAAATTAACACAACAGACTGATTTATCTATAACTGGTTATACACCAAATCGTTTTCGAGATGAATTAAATCATATTATTGGACCATTGGAAAATATAATTATTTATAGATTCGAACTTGATCCACATCAATCTTTTAATCAATTAATAAAACAAATTGATAAATTATGTTCAAATATAAAAGAAAATGCTTTTTATCCATATCAACAATTAGTTGCATATGCAAGAAAATTTTCTTCATTACAATATCCATTTAGTCAAGTATCAGTTCGTCTTAATATTGAAGATGATCAATGGAATCTTGATCCAAATAATAATCTTTTTTTAAAACAAATTTATTTAACAAATCATCAATTATTTCCACGCGATAATAAATTAACACCTATTGATTTAACATTAAATATAATAGCAAATTTAGAAAAACAAACTTTATCCTTTTATTTTGATTATTCAAATAAATTATTTGAACAAGAAACAATTCAAACATTAGCATTAAGATATGAAAAATTACTTAAACATTTATTTGATGTTTCATCAAACTTTGATTTAGATGATGAACCTATTTATAAATTAGCAATTATTTTACCACATGAAGAACGACTCATGCACAATATTAATATTAACAATGATTAAGCTTTTGTTTTTTTCAATTAAAACATTTTACATTTATTTATTTATTTATTTCACTATTCATCTAACAGAATAAATAAATACCAACTACTGCCCATTCCAAAAAAA